TTTCTGAAGAATGGTCTAGGCCCAAAACGTCAGCCTTCCTGCTCCTCTGATGCTGCTTGGCCTGCTGTGTTCATCCAGCTCTACACCTTGTTATCTCAGATTCTCCAGCATCTGCAGTTCCTACTATCTCTAAAAGAAGAAGTGGGTCTTATTAGGGACCAAAGAGGAGATTTGTGCCTGGAGGTTGGAGCCTGACTGAGATACAATATGATAGTATATGAATACTTATGGTGGAATTTTACCAGGTCCTGAAAGAAGTGGGCTAGAGAGCTAGAGTGAGAACTCTAGGAGAATCACATAAGAAGTCCAACAAGGCCTTTCTTAACTTCAGGAGCAATTAATAGTATTTTCCGAGTAAGTTCCAGATGTTGAGATGAGATTCTTGATAGACAGTGTGAAATGCCTATTACTTATTTGTTATTGGTCTCATTAATTGCACATCACACCTCTATAAAATGCAGCTTCCTTTTCTACCACTCACCATGACCAAACTAGACACCTGCTCCTCCAGACTGCCATCTTGGTCACCAAGCTTCACCATATCAAGGCATCTCCATGTGGCACTCTCCCATGCTAACAGCAGACGGCTGTCAGCTTCTCATGGCAGAACTCCGAGCCAGTCAGTTTGACATTAATGGTGGGGAAATCAATAGAACTGATAATTTGGGACACAATTAACAGTCACTTGGACAGTACGGATTGGTTCAAATGGAAGGCCTACGTGGATATTTTAGAAGCACATCATATTTAACTAACTTGCTTGAGTTTCGTTTAATAGGATAGCAGAAAGTGTTGTTGAAGGTCATGTGTTGAAGCCCAGGGAATAAAAGGGACAATAGCAGCAAGGAAATGAAATTGGACCAAAATAACGTTGGTGAATGATTATTTTTCAGATTGAAAAAAGAAGGGGATCTCCAGGGGTCAGTGGTTGGAGCATGCTTTTTTTTTGATTTTTATTAATAGCCTAGACTTTCATGGACAGGACGCTATTTCAAAATTTGTGGAAGACACAAAACTTGGAAGTCGCGTGAAATGTGAGGACAATGCAGACAAACTTTAAAGGGACATAGTCTGCTGGAATGGTAAATGGAATTTAATGTAGAGAAGTGTGAAGGGATTCATTTTGGTCAGAAGAAAGAGCAGAGACAATATAAGACAAATTGTACATTTCTAAAGTGGGTAGAAGTGCCTGTGCACTTGATCTGTCTATATTTCATAGACCTCATACACATTTAGAGCACAGAAGAACGATAATTAGCCTAACATGTCCATGCTAGTCAACAAGAAGCTGGCTCCAATAATCCTGTTTACCAGCTTTTAGCCCACAGCCCTTTAGGCGAGAGGAACACAATACCTGAACACTAATTAAAATTTGCAAGAGTTTCTTTCACAACTATCTCTTCAGGCAATGAGTTTCAGATGACCACTACCCTTTCAGTGAAAAAGATTCTTCTCAACTATACTCTTAACCTCTACCTTTAACCTTAAATCTATTCTCCTCCACTAATGGAATAAGATCCTGTCCACCATATCTATGCCTCTCATAATCTTAGGCACCTCTATCTCAACTTACTTTTGCTACGCCAAAGAAAACAACCCAGCCTATCCAAGCTTTCCATATAGCTTAGACACTCCAGCCAGGCATCATCCTGGAAAATGTCTTCCGTACCTTCTCTAATGCAATCACACTGTTCCTAAAATATAGTGACCAGACTGCACGCAATACTTCAGTTGTGTCCCAACCAGTGTCTTATACAGTTTTAGTTTAACCTTGTATTCTATGCCTCAACTAATAAAGGCAAGCACTCCACATAACTTCTTAAACACCTTTTATACCTGCCTCGCTACCTTTAGGGATCTGTATATATGCACACCAAGTTCCCTCTGATCATTCATAGTGCAATCTCTAGCATTGTTAACCCTGCCTGAGTGCATTATCTTACACTTTTCCAGGCTGAATTCAATTTGCTATTGGTCTGCTCATCTGACCAGTCTGTTGATACCATCCTGCAGTTTATGGCTATCCTCATCACTATTTAAAACCCTACCATCTCTTTGTGTATTCTGAAAACTTCTTGATCATACATCCTACACACAAATCCAATGTATACCATAAACAGTAAGATCCCTAGCATCAAGCCTGTTGGAAGCACACTGGAAACAGACTTCCAGTCACAAAAACATCTCTCTACCATCAACCTCGTTTCCTGCCACTCAACCAATTTTGAATCCATCAAACCATTTTGCCTTTAGTCCCCTGGCTTTTATTTTCTTGAGCAGTCAACCACAAAGAACCTTATCAAAAGCCTTGTTAAAGTCCACATATTCCACATCAAATGCATTACCCTCATCAACACTTCTAGTTACTTCCTCAAAAAATTCAATTAAATTTATCAAACGTGACTTTCCATCAACAAATCCATGCTGACTATCCCTAAGTAATCTTTATCCCAAGTGTAGATAAAATCTGTATCTCAGAATTCTTTCTAATAACTTCTGCACCATTGAAGTTAGACTGACTGGCCTGTAATTTCATTGTCTACCCCTTCCTCTGTTTTTTCAATACTGGGTCGACTTCAGCAGTCCTTCAGTTCTCATCTGTAGCCAGACAGGTTTTGAAAACTATTGCCAGGGCTCTTCATATCGCCTCCCTTCCCTTCCTCAAAAGGGTGGGATCCATCTAGACCTGTAGGTTTATCAACTTTTAAATATGCTCACGAGTACCTCCTCTCTCTCTGTTACTTGCTTCTAATATTTCACAGTCCTCCATCTGCATTATCCTTTTCCATTGTGAAGAATGATGAAAAATATCAGTTGAGGACTGAGACCATGTCTTCCACTTCCAGATGTAGATTATCTCTATGGTCCCTAATGGGCCCTACTCTTTCCCTAATATCTCTCTTTTGTTTCATATATTATAAAATCCCTTTGAGTTTTCCTTTATCCTATCTGCCTATACTTTCTCATGCATTCTCTTTGCTTTCATAATTGCATTTTTAAGTTCCTTCCCTTCACTTTTTATGGTCCTCTAGGGACTTTTACTGTATTGAGCTCTCAGTATCTGCCATAACTTCTCTATTTTCTTAATTCTATTCTTTATACCCCTTGATCCAGTCTTGGTTTCACCCTTTATCTTATGAAAACATGTTTGCCCTGCGTTTTCACTTGTACCCCCTTAAAACCATACCACTGTTCTGACACAGTTTTACCTGCAAGTAGCTAATCCCAATCCACTTGGGACAAATCTTACCTTAGTAAAATTTCCCTTTTTCCAGTTTGGAGATTTTATTTTCGCCCTAAATCCAAGTGAGTTATGGTCACTATCTCCGAAATTCTCACTTAATGATGCACCTTCTATTTGCTTAGGCTAGTACGGTGCTGAAAAAAACATTTCAGTAATTTGAGCATTTGGTTTTCTCTCTACCTTGAACGTTAGAATTATTTCAGCTCATATTTGGGTGGTGAAAATCCCCAACATTACTGCTTTATTATTCTTACACTTCTCTGAAATTTGATTTTATATTTGATTCTCTACCTCTCCCTGACTGACTGGAATATATACAAGGCTATTTGTTTGCTCCTTTTGAGTTTTTGTTCTACTTCTACCTATATGGCCTTATTTAATGAACCTTCCAAGATACCATCTGTCCTCACTGCTATAATTGATTTTTTTGATCAACATTTCAATACCCCCACTTCTTTTCCATCCCCCTATTCTATGTTGCCTGAATATCCTATAACCAAGAAGGCTGAGCCACAGATCCTTCCCATCTTTAAGCTATGCCTTGATTGCAGCTATGATATCATACACCTACGCATCTTTCTGTGCCCTTAGCTCATCTGTCATATTCCATGGGCTTCCTGCATTAAAATATAGTCCATTTAGCCTTGCTAAACTCACTTCTTTCTTATCTAACTTATGTCTTTTTCTGCCATTGAGATTCACTCACTCACATTTTAACTTCTAATTCCATCACAGTTTTTCTGTCTCTGTTCTATTTGTCAGGATCCCAGGCCCCTGCTAATCTAGTTAAAATCCACACCAAGAGCAATATAGAATCATACAGCTTGGAAACTGATCCTTCGGTCCAACTTGTCCATGCTGAACCAGGTTTCCCAAACTAAACTAGTCCCATTTAGCTGCATTTGGCTTATAACCCTCTAAACTTTCCTATTCATATAGCTTTCCAAGTTGTTGCAAAGTTGGGTAGAGTGTTTGATGTTTGTAGAATGATGGGGAGGGGTGGTGGGGAAAGAGTGCACAGTCCCTTTAAAAGATGATGTGTTTTATCTTTAGGCTTGGAGATTTAAAAAAAAGATGTCTGTCAGCAGTAGCAGATGCACAGAGCGTTCTTGAAATTGAAACATTGCTTCAAAAGGCTATACTGTTAGCAGGCAAAGTAGCATTTTTACCAAGAGAACAGGTTTTTGAATTTAGCCAATTAATTTAAACCAGGCCCTAAATACCAAAACCCAAATAAATTTATGATGGTTTTGACAACCTAGGACTAATCCTATTGTAAGAAATTAATAGGTCATCAAGAGTACAATAGAAGAGGGGATTTGAAAATCGGTGTGAGAGTCAACTGTCAAGTGCTAAGAGAACAGCTCTCAGCTATAAAAGAAAGAATCACTGTTTCTCTCAGAATTCTTTAAACTCTCAGAAAACCATCATCTAAACTAAAGGTACAGCAGCATTCTTAGCTAATATTCCTGGCACAAGAATTTGATGGTGAAAGGTATTCTTGACGGAGGATCAGTGGAGAGGGCGTGGAGCATTCTGAGAAGATTTATCCTGGCTATAATTTTGAGAAACTAAACTTTTTTTTTGTTAATTTGGTTTATATGAGTGGGTCTTGTATTTATTGGAACAGCATACCATAAAAATTTTGTTTATTCAGGAATAGTTAGTAGTTAAGGGGGAATTGTTTGGTTTGTTAGTAGTTCTGTTAATTTATTTACTGTTAGAGTTAGATAAATAAATTATTACTTGTTGATTATAAAGTGAGTATCAGGGATTTTTGTTTCATTTAACCACTCCTTTATAGCAGATTGGGGGACGTCAGAGGTAGGTTATATCATTCTTCACACTTTGTTTAACAGATTACGAGGTGAGACGTGTGTTCCAGTTTTAGATAATTTTCGGGAGTGGGGGGGGTGAGGTGGGGTCAACCTCGCCATTACAGATTGTCTTCTAAATGTTGTAACTATACCTGCGTCTAACCACTTCCTCTGGCAGTTCATTCTAAATATGTACCACCACTGTGTAGCCCCTTAGGTCCCCCTCTTAAATCTTTCTCCTCTCCTTAAAAATATGCCTCCTAACTTTGTACACACCCCACCCTAGGAAAAATACCTTTGCTATGCCCCTCATGATTTTATAAACTTCTATAAGGTTATCCCTCAGCCTCCTACACTCCAGTAAAAAAAAGTCCCAGTCTAACCTTATAAATCAAATGCTCCATTCCTTGCAACATCTGCTACTCCTCAGCCCATTGGCTCAATTGATCAAGATCCCTTTGTAATCTTAAATAACCTTTTTTTGAGGAGGGTATTGGCCCTGTTCCTTTCCAGTTTTAACCTGGCAAACTTGTACATTTTCCATCCTCACCTTATCCATGCGCCTCGTGATTTTATAAACCATAGCCTCCGACGCTCCAGTGAGAATAGCCCCAGCTTATTGAGCCTCTCCCTATAGGTCAAATACTCCACCTGTGGCAACATTCTTGTAAATCTTTTCTGAACCCTTTCAAGTTTCATAAAATCTTTCCTACAGCAGGAAGACCAGAATTGAATGCAGTATTATAAAAGTGGCCTAACCAATATCCTGTACAGTGCAACATGACCTCCCAACTCCTGTACTCAATGCATTGACCAATAAGGGCAAGCATACCAAACTTCTTCTTCACTACCCTGTCCATCTGCAACTCCACTGGTCAATTTTGGAGAAAGTTCGATTTCAATAATATTTTCCTTTCAGTCGTTGGTAACACATCCAGTTTAATATATCAATAATCCTGACTACTGCAGGATTCATGCATCCTGAGGCAGATGAACCAACCAGTAGCTAATTACACATCTATTTTAACTTTAATTTGGGCTTTCAGTATAAAATTATTTCATTTCTACATGAAGCTACGCTTTTAGCATTTTAACAGTGAGGAAGCTGCTACAGCACAGATAAAATGTTTGCAATATAAACTTTGATATCTTAATAAATTTTATATCTTCTTATAAGGATATGAACAGCAAATCCTACAGAAACAATGAAAAAATGGGCAAGATCAAAATGATGAATAAAATAAATCAAAATGACAAAAATGAAGATTAAAGCATATTAAATGTCATGGTGCATTTAAAGGTAAAACTTAACCATTTACCCATTGAAGGGTGAGGAAGAAGTGCAATCAATTTACGAACCACTTACGCTAAAATTACTTTCAAGTTGGACACAAAGATATATCTGGAGGTTGTGTAGTCCTTAGATTTCACAACTAAAATGTAAAAGAAATATGAAATACCATAACCTGGCTCCTTAGGAACAAGGGAAAAGAATTAGTTTGAATCCAAAGACTACATTCAATGAAAATGTTGATGGACAGATAAAAAGGAAGCAATATTGACCTTGTCTTAGTTGAAATTGAGTTTAAGATGGGGAGCAATTTAGAATATCATAAATGTTTGCACTTTCTTCTTCCTCACCCTTCAATGGGTAAATGGTTAAGTGAAGTGGGGTTTACCTTTAAATGCACCATGACATTTAATATGCTTTAATCTTCATTTTTGTCATTTTGATTTACTTTATTCATCATTTTGATCTTGCCCATTTTTTCATTGTTTCTGTAGGATTTGCTGTTCGTCTCCTTATAAGAGGATGTAAAAATTATTTTACTTGCCATTTTATCTTTCTAGGATCTCCGTAAATGTCAATATCAACTATCTGAGATTTCTTTAAATTTGTATCTATAGCTTACAGGCTTAAGGTAATTTGCACGCTTCTGTTCGAGTACTTTTGTAACAGTGTTGAAGGCTGCAGGAAGACTTTTCTTGAGTAATCATATTTGAATTCAAGAATTTTAGGAAGAAACTTCAAATTTAAAAACTTTGAATTTCATTCTCCTGGTAATATATGTCATCTTTGTTCAATTTGTAGCAGTCTTCCTTTTGAGACAGCATTTGTGGGTTCAAAGTTGCCAGTTTTCTTAGCTGAAGAAGATGAAATTCCACGCTTTTTAAAAGTGGTTGTAAATGGCCATGTGGCTCAGTAATGGTAATCTTGCCTTGAGTCATAAGGCTGTAAATTTAAAGCCCACTCCAAATTTTGAACAACTTGACAGAAACTTGACACTATTCAGAATACTGGATCTAATTTGCTGCTGGTGCTACCATTAGACTCAATATCTACTCCTCCAGGACATACTGTAATGGCTTACTAAGCTCACATTTGTGGGATTCATGGCTTTGTCACTTCTACAAACAGGCACAAGAAGAATATTATGGGAATATCATCATCTCAATATACACACACAATCCAGATTACATGTCATAATTTCTTCATTGTCATTGGACCAATACCCTGGAATTCCCAAACTATAAGGAGTTTTATCATTAAGGTTGGGGTGAACAACCTCACCATAAGGCCTGCAGCAGACAAAATCCTTTTTCATGTGGTTCATTCCCTGAGAATAACAAAACCTATTGGGTTTTAATATTAGGTGTTCCCTGCAAGTTTTCTTTTTGAAGGGTGAATATTTCTCATTTAAGAATGGTAAGTCCTGGAAAAATGTTCATTATTTCAGCGCCAATATCTTCTGGGTCTAGGATAACAGGTCAGATACAGCATTAAGTCCCTCACTTCCTTTGATTAGCATGATAACTGAAGCAAAAGATGATATAATTGCAAGGTTCAAAGAAGGGACAAAATGCAGAAAAAATGCTTGACATGAGTGTGATAATTATGTGAAATAAAAATACGCTCAATAACAATTAAAAAACATTTTATGATGCCTACTGATATAGCACTATGACTATTTAAACTGCAGGAATATGGCTTAACTTCAGCCTCCAGGGGAGTGCTTGCATTGTGTTAGTGTGGAATTTCCTTTCCTCAATTCGTCCATCTCTACTAGCTGCTTTACTGAGTCTGAAAATTAATGTCAAATCTCAAGCCTTAAAAGAATTAATTTGAATCCAAAGACTACATTCAATGAAAATGTTGATGGATAGATAAAAAGGAAGCAATATTGACCTTTTCTTAGTTGAAATTGCATTCAAGATGGGGAGCAATTTAGAATATCATAAATGTCTGCACTTTTCTTCTTCCTCATCCTTCAATGGGTAAATGGTTAAGTGAGGTGGGGTTTACCTTTAAATGCACCATGACATTTAATATGCTTTAATCTTCATTTTTGTCATTTTGATTTATTTTATTCATCATTTTGATCTTACCCATTTTTACATTGTTTCTGTAGGATTTGCTGTTCGTATCCTTATAAGAGGATGTAAAAATTATTTTACTTGCCATTTTATCTTTCTAGGATCTCTGTAAATGTCAATATCAACTATCTGAGATTTCTTTAAATTTGTATCTATAGCTTACAGGCTTAAGGCAATTTGCACGCTTCTGTTCGAGTACTTTTGTAACAGTGTTGAAGGCTGCAGGAAGACTTTTCTTGAGTAATCATATTTGAATTCAAGAATTTTAGGAAGAAACTTCAAATTAAAAAACTTTGAATTTCATTCTCCTGGTAATATATGTCATCTTTGTTCAATTTGTGGCAGTCTTCCTTTTGAGACAGCATTTGTGGGTTCAAAGTTGCCAGTTTTCTTAGTTGAAGAAGAAGATGAAATTCCACGCTTTTTAAAAGTGGTTGTAAATAGCCATGTGGCTCAGTAATGGTAATCTTGCCTTGAGTCATAAGGCTGTAAATATTTTAAGGCATGTTATTCCCTAGATTGCGATTATTAAAACTGGTTGAATAAGGGTATCGACACCCAAATAATAAATGCATGACAATGACACAAATGGAGAATGTTTTTACATGACCTGCCATAGATGGATTGCAATTTAAATATCACACAGTTACTTCAGCAGACATCACAAAATGACATTTAATTATCATCATTGTGCATATTTTCTCATCATATAATTATTACACATCGATTACTTCATGCCAAACAATTTTCTGCATTTTTATCTCTGGTTTGTGCCTTGTAATTATGTCACTTCTCCTTCTGTTATTAGGCTAAAACATAGGCAGTATCTCAATAAATGCTCTTTTCAGTGATTATAACTGTTGCACCGTGCCAACGTTAAAGAAAAAGGTGCAATTTATTAGGCATCATGCAATTTCTAGCATTTGGCATTTATCTATGAAATCAAATGATGCACAGAACTGACTTACTTTAATATCAAATCAATTGCAGCTTTGAAGTACTGTGCTACAGCTGCAAAATCCAGTTGAGGAGTGTCTTTACCTTTGGCATCACAAGGTGCTGTTTCAGGTCCTAGAAGATGCGGAAAATTTCTATGGGCATAATTTGTGTTGAATCTGAATCAGATGTCATTTTGAGCAAAGTACTGGTCTGGGTACAGGGAGTAGATGTCAAAGTAGATAGAGAAGGCTACAACAGCCAATGTAAGTTGCTGATTGATGCCATTTTAGGCCTGAGCACTCCGACTAAGTTTTTGACTTAACCCTCAAATAACTGAAATTAATTCAGCAGCAAGAAACCTCACTACCCCTTGGATATAAAAAGAAAATAATCTAATTAAGCTGTCCAATTTAAATCAGAATTAAGTAGTATGGGAATCTGAAATATTGACAAAAGCCAGCTTGTAAACAGTCTTACAGCATTAGAAAATATTGATAGTCTTGCACCTGTTAACTGTTAAAAGCAGTTAAAAAGCTCATTGTGACCAGTGTGTTCACAACTTGCACAAGTGCCCAATGTCATTGTATCAGCTGCTGGAATCTGGGATGATTCAGCATCCTAAATATCCCTGAGAGATTTAAATTGGCTTTAATTCAGAATCTGATTTTAAGATTGACTGTTCTAGTTTGGGTTTCCTGAGGTTGCGCAAAACGGCAGTGAAGGGAAGGTGACACCCTCATCTGTTCAACTGAGCTTGGGGAATAGCACTTGAGTGTAGATAATCACAGAGCTTCACGCAGAGCACATCCTGAGCAGATGGACCCTTGGTCGGACAACAGCAAAATCCCAAAAACAGCCAAGCTCAGCCAAATGGCTAAAATATTCTTCAGGATTGGGTCTGGCAAGCCATGTAGTTGCTGCTGATATGTGGACTCAAGACAGTAAAGGAGTCTGAGATAGATGCAGCCTTGACACCGTTACCACCTGAAGAAGAGGAAGAAACACTCCCAATACTCTCCTGGTGTGAGAGATGAGCTACGGTCCAGTACATGCCACCTCTGTCTGAGCCAGAGTCGGAGGAACCAGAGCTGGGGGCGAAAAGGTTCCAGGAGAAGCCACAAGAAAAAGAATAGGCCTACATCCCTGGACTTTGGAGGGGGTGGGGTGGGGGGAAGGTTTGGAGGGATGTAGTGATTGGAAAAAGGGTCAGGTGGATGTCATTGACTATGCGATCCCTGATTGGTGTTGTTAACCTGGCCAATCAGGGAGCCCTGGCTGACAGATATAAACAGGAGACTCAGAGAGCCTCCACATTCTAGAAACTGGCTCTGAGCTGGCTGGTCAGAGCCCAGGTACTGTACACATGTGAATAAAGGGTGACCTGGTGATGGGATACCAGATTCTCTGCAGTTATTTCACATAACAAATATATAATATAGTTCTTCATTAAGTACTGTATGCAAAACATTAATAACCTCATCATTACTCATAACTATTACTGCTCTGATTGTTTTGATGTTTGATACTGAATACAAATAGATGGTAAACTTTTTTGGAATGTAATGCAGTGATTAACAACTGGTTAAGAGACTTTTACCTTAAATTCCAATAGAGTTTGCATTTTGTTCATACTACTTGGCCAAGGCATGGTCATTGATAACATAATTAACATCCTAAAATACTCAGGAAAGGCAGGCTTTATATCACATTGTGTTTCTTGGGCAGCATTTCTGCTTGAGTTATTATTAATAGATTCCATTGAAGTCAAATTTCATCTTTTGTCACTGAAGAAAATTAGAAGTTATTTTCCCTGAAGTTATTAATGGCAAAGTTCACAAGTAGCAAAGTTTTTGCACCTTTATTTCAAGCAGCCATTATACTCAGACCAAAGAGTTGGAATGTGAAGCTACCGTAGATGCTAAACAGCAACAGTAATATGCAGAGATAGTAGGAACTGCAGACGCTGGAGAATCTGAGATAACAAGGTGTAGAGCTGGATGAACACAGCAGGCCAAGCAGCATCATAGGAGCAGGAAAGCTGACGTTTCGGGCCTAGACCCTTCATCAGAATTGGGGGAGGGGAAGAGGGTTCTGAAATAAATAGGGAGAGAGGGGGA